TTTAATAAATACATGAGTAAGGGCTGGAAAGATGGCGCAGTAGTTAAGACACTTGCTGTCCTTGTAGAGAACCAGGGTTTGAGTCTCAGCACCTACAAGGTGGCTCACAATTGTCTGTAACTCCAGCTCCAAGACGTGCACACAGTGTACATACTTACATGCAGGCAAAATACTCAGAAAAATAAATTAATCTTCCAAAAGAAAGCAAAACAAAACAAAAAAACACACCACCAAAATGAAATACAAGACTAAACATACCCCTAAAATGAAATATATGACCAATCACATCCTCAAAACCAAATACATGACCAAAGAAGAACACCCAAGATGAAGTAAATTTCCCAACGTGTTCAATCTTGAACACAAAGCAAGCCAGGCCTGTGAGATGGCACAGTGAGTAAAGGCACTTGATATGCAAGCCTTTCAATTGTCAGAATCAACATTTTAAAAAGAAAAGGAGAAGAAGAAAATCAAGCAAGACCAGCCAGGCCCGGGTCCTTATCCAAAGCCACATTCACCAAAGCAGACACGTCACTTGACTGTAGACGAGGCAAGCGAGCCTCCTCTGAGACTAGCCACATTAGGTATTTACAGGTTCAGCAAGCCCAGCAGTACTGCCACACTGGGCAGTGAAGCAATGGTTTCTTTTTTTAAGTTTCATTCTATCGGGGACACCCATGGCAGGTGCACATGTGAAGTCAGAGGACTACTCTGTGAAGTCACGTCCCTCCTTTCACCTTCCTGGGAATTCTGGGAGTCAAACTCAGGTAACCAGGCTTGCACATCAGGTGCCTTTTCCCATTGAGTCATGTGTCCTGCCCCTTCCCCCATCTCTACTTGATCAAGATACACAAGCACACACATTCAGTTCCCTTCTGCTATGATCCTAAGTCAGCGTCAACTTCACTTCCTTAACTTCAATTCCTCAGTGGAGCTGAAGCTCACTTACTATTTAGCCCTCACCCAGAAGTCAGCCTACCATCCTCTAGGCCTCAAGGCTTCTCTTCCTGCTCAGGTCCAGCCTGCCTGGCAGCTGAAGGAGGGCCGGAGCACACTTTCCTACAGGAGACACAAAGATCAGACCTGAAACTCTCTCCTAAGCACCTCAAGGCCGGAGGCGCTAAACTTGTTTCCAAGCTGCTTCCTCTAGTCTATTGTTTAAATTTGTCATCTGTGAGGCTGTCAATATGGCTCAGCGGTTAAGGGTGCCTGCCACTAAACCTGACGACCAGAGTTCAATGCCCAGGACTCACAAGGTAGGAGCAGAGAATGGAGTCTCTCAGGTTGTTCTCTGACCTCCACATGCACACTTGTGGTATGTGTGTGCCCACATATATAACACACATAATAAGTAAATACATATTTTTTTTAAACTTGGTAAGTGAAAGGGTTTGTTAAAAGATTGCTGGGCCAGACTGCAAGAGTTTCTGGTGGAATAGGTAAGGTGAACTTTTCAAAGTTCCCAGGAGACAGGGATGGTGCAGATCGAAGACTGCAGCTGTCAAAGAGCCCCAAACAGAACTTTGATTCCTGCTTATCATCTTCCTCAGCTGCTCCTCCGGCCTGAGCATCGTGGGAATAAAGCCATAGCACAGGAGGTTGGAAACCCTGAGGAAGAGACCTGGGTACATCGGACTTCATTTGAGGCACCCCTGAAGGATTTGGGCAGGCTGGATACTAGTCAGGGAGGAAACTTGGAAGCGTGTTTCTAGGGTACTTCATTGGTTGGCGCTATTTGACCTGTTTTTTTCTTCCACACACGCTGATCTGGTGCTGGATCTGAGGTGACAGAGGAGAAAGAACAGTGTGGTCCCGGCCCTTCAGAGCTGGTCTGGTGTCTAGGAAGGAAATATGCAAAAAGTTATAACACTGATAACTGTTCTCTGGATGGGGTGTGGGTGAAGTGGGAGGAACCCTGGCATCTGAGTTACTGGAACCTTCTTGGGAGAATTGGCATTTATGTCCAGACCTGAAGGATTTTCAAGAATCTGGAAGATAGAAGGGGTATGTTGTTGAACTCAGTCCTGAGAGTAAAAAAATGACCATTTGCGTCAGATGAACTGCACCTGCTTGCAAGAGACCGTCAAGATCAGCTGTTGACTGTTGAGACTTCCTCATAGAAGTTGTGTGTGTGTGTGTGTGTGTGTGGGGGGGGTTATCGATTCTTCACCTGAGCGTTAAGCCCCTCCTCCCAGCCATTTGCAGTCAAGTCGGCCCTAATTGCTAGAGTATATAAGCTGGTCAAGTTACCAGAAGGGGTCTCCCGCTCCTGACTGTTGGAGTCATCATTCCTCTTGGGTGAAGTGCAGTTGCTGCTTTGTGGTCAGTCAATGTTCCTGCCAGAAACCCCTCGACACTATTCTGTGAGTCCAGGACCCTCATGAGCTCCCAGGGTAAACCTTGGCGTAACTGTGCTTTGGTTTGTTGTTGCGATCATAGGAAGAAGGAGTAAACTTTTATTTCTCAGGGAAAGAATTCTTGAAACAGGTTTGGGACGAAGCAACAGAACTGAGACCTGAAGCTCCAGAGAGAAAGGTGACTGCAAAGGCTTGCCAGGGAGCACTCCTGCAAGCCTGGCTCCTTCCTTTCCGATGGCTCAATTCATGTCACCCAGCTTGGTTGTTCTTGAGCTGATGTGTCCCAAGGCTCATTCTGACGCCTCTTTCCTCTCACACCCTGACCCCTGAGCTCTTCCACTTGAGCTCTGCTTATGAACTGGGTAGCCTGGCCTCCTCCGCTCACTGCGCATGGTTAGCTGTAGGCATCCCTGTATTCTGTCCTGGTGAATAGCACACACCAGCACTCCATCGGGTCACCTAAGCCAAAGAGGCCCACGAAAGGTGCAGGGTGAATTGGTTAATTGTTGCCGCCAATTACCCAGGCAAATCAGAAGTTGCTCTGTTCTACTTCTGATCCCACGACGTGGTAGCCAACTGACCTAATGACAATATTTAGCTCACAAAGCTGCTCTATGGTTAACAATGAGAATCATTTGTCACTCAGTGAAACGGATATTAAGTACTTTATTTGGATTCTCTTGAGAGATGGTGTGTACCCAGTTCAAGGTTGCCAGTGCTAGAGGCAGGTCTGGAAGCCAGACTTCTCTAATGTCTCAGCTATTTCCTTCATCTCACATCCAGTCAGTTGAATACTAGGCAGGCGAAAGGAGGGTAGTAAATTGCATTATCAGCACGAATGTAACCACTTAAGAGACATTAAACATTTTTAATCATTCACCTATTTTTTTTTTAGTGCATGTGTGTGTGTTCTCGCGCGCCCGTGTATGCGAGTGCATATGTGTCAAATCCACAACTTCTCCATATTGCCGTTTCTACTCTTAGGTTCCCTGGTCAGAAACTCTTGGGTACTTCCAAAGGCCGTCCGTGGTAGGAAGTAGGTGCTGTAGCCGTGTTCACCACCCACTCAGCTGACAAGCTGGACGGTGGAACAGGTTGTCAAATATCAGGCGTGCCAGAGGGAAGTCCCAGACAACTCCGGCAGCTTCAACTAACTGCCTACCGTTTTCTGGACAGCGAGCGCTGCTTGAGATCAGTTAACCCCCCCAACCCCCGCAATACACATACACATACACACACACACACACACACACACACACACACACACACACACACACAGTTGGCCAAATGCTCTTTTTCCAGTTCTGGCTGAGATGTCAGGTTCAGTGGATGAGGACGCCTGCCAGGTACCTGGTTGGGTGAGCACCGCCCAAACTGGTCGGGCTAGTTCACCCTGTGTCTGTCTCTGCCAGGACTTGCCCTTGTGTAGGGAGGGTACAGACCTACCCTTCTCCACAGCAACCCGGGTAGGTGCAAGGCAGCTGTGGGCATTAGTCTGGCAGTCAGACCAGATGGGTGGAGCTGAATTAATCTAACCTGGAATTTCAACTTGGCCAGTAACAACAGGTGAGGGGTGGGGGCGAATCAGCACAGAGAAATGGACAGTTTGGCAAGTTGGAAATACTCTTGTATCTTGTCCCTTACCCCCTGCCTAGAATACAGCCCAGGGTGACTTTTTTTCAAAGTGTCTGCGACATTTAGGCCTCGGTGAGGACTGAGCCCGTCCCGAATCTGTCTGGGTTCCTCTCTGCGACGCGCCCCTTCCCTCTCTCCTCTGGGAGGCAGGGCGGGGGTCTCGGATTAGTCTTTGTTTTAGATGCTAAAGGGCCCGAGAGCAGGGCCGGGGAGGCTGGCGATGGCAGAGCCCAGGGGTCGGCGTGGCAGGGCACTCGGCTATGACCCTCATGCGGATGCCTTGCAGCGGGCGCTCGGTCTCTGCCCTCGGGCACCCACTTCTTGCCGGTCAGGCTGACTCGGTACGCAAAGGCGCGATGTCCCCTATTGTCCTGCCTCGGCCTGAGAGGCAGCCGAGGAGGAGAAAGGGGGTCGATCGGGCTCGGGGCAGCCGGGCGAGCGTGGGGCCGTCCCGAGCACGCAGGGAGTGGCAGGAAGTGGGGACACCCAGGCGGCTGGGCCAAGGGCCTAGCTGGGGAGGTCCGCGCCCCGCCCCGCCCCTCCTCGACAGCTCGGGCTGCGGGCCCCGCCGGAGGGCAGGGAAGGGCCAGCCCGCGGGGACAGCCGCGTCTCAGGAAGGGCCCTCCGAAAGGCCTGGGGAGGCGCTGCAGGTGCAAAACCCGGGTGGCCCGCGCGCGCATCGCTCCCTCCCCGGGAACTCCGCTCTTGCGCGGTCCCGGGCCTAGCGGCCAGCCTCGGCGGGACCGCACGTGCGCGCCCTCCCGGGCGGGGGAGTCCCCGGGCGAGCACGTGCCGCGGCGCGCGGGGGGCGGGGAGTCCCGCGGCCGCCTTCATTGCTTCTGCTGCTGCTGCTGCTGCTGCTGCCGCCGCGGCCGCCGCCGCTGCTTCCTTCCTCCTGCGCCGTCCCCTGCTCGGCCGGGGCGGGGGGGGGGGGGGGGGGGGGGGGGGGGGGGGACTCCGCGCGCGCAGCGAGCTTGGCTGGGCTGGGCGCTCCCGCTCCCGGAGGCGCACACCTTGGCCCGTGGCGGTGGCGGCGGTGGCAGCGGCAGGCTGGGAAACTTTGCCCCTTTGTGCGCTCCGCCCCGGAGGCGGCGGGCAGGTCGGTGCAGCCGGTGGCTTTCCGGCTCCGCGGTGGGGGAGGGGCAGCGCGTGGGGGGAGGGGCGGCACGGGGACCGTGGCAAGGCCGTAGTGGGCGCAGCAGGGTAGCCAGCGACCCGGCAAGGGGCTCCGGGTGGCCGTGCGGGGCTGCCGGGTGGGGGTGGCGGGGCGGGGGCTGCGGTGCAGCGGGAGCGGAGCAGCGGAGGCCCCAGAACAAAGGAGCCGGAGCGGCGGCGGCAGTGGCGGCGCGCGCAGCCTGGCCTGTGCCCCAGCGCGCCCCCTCCCCGCACCCCTTGGTGGCGCGGGTCACCCTTCTCTGTGGCCCGCGGGGCTCCGGCTCCTGGGGCGCGGCGAGGTAGCCGGCGCGGGACTCCCCATGGGCGCGCCCCCCACCTCTAGGCCGCCTGGGGCGCCGTCCGCTCAAATGAGTGAGCCTCTGCAAACTTTATTTTGCAAGCTCTGTTCCCTCGGGGAAGGTCCTGCGGGCCCCCAGTGAAGGGCTGCGTGTAGATTTTAGTGAAACTCACTAGCCAGTAGACGTATGTGTGTGAGGGTGTGTGTGTGTGTGCACAGAGCAACTTTCTCAGAAATCCCACCTTGAGCACTCCCTCATCCCCTTGAATACCTTGTGCACCCTCACCCCCTCATGGGGGTCCCCTGTACCTCCCTCTGAGGTTCTCAGTAAGGCTTCATTTGACTCAGACTCTGGCTTCCCCCATTTTCTCTCTTCCCAGAAGCAGGAAGAGATAACACGTGAAAGTTGTCCCTGAGCACCGAGTGATGCGCTTCCTCTTTCTGTGTCTTTTTCCCCTCTCAGGCAGCGTAGCCTTCTCCATCATCCTGACCCAGGGAGGGAGAAGTGTCAGGAGGAAACTCCTCACCCTATTCTGCCCTACCACACACCCAGTGGCTCACCTCATGCCTGAGCCCCGGGTGGGTGAGGGTGAAGAACCCACCCAGCCAAGATGAAATCTTCCCTGGGGGCCGCTGCTGTCACTGTCTTGCCCCAGATCCTGGGGCCCTGCAGGTGGGAGACTGGTCCTGGAAGGAGCCCTGTGAGCCGGCTGCAGAGGAGGTGAAGAGGGTTAAGAAGAGGCACCCATCCCAGAGGCGGAAGCTCCTTGCCTTCACCCTTGTAGACTTGTTTAGGAGAGAAGGACCTGTTTGCAGGCAGCAAGAGACTGGACAGTAGTTTAACCTGGCACCTATGCCCCCTTCCCTGGCAACAGCAGCAACATCATGAGCCAGTTTCAGGTGCCCTTGGCGGTCCAACCGGACCTGCCAGGAATTTATGATTTCCCGCAGGGCCAGGTGATGGTAGGGGGCTTCCAGGGGCCTGGGCTTCCTATGGCTGGGAGCGAGACCCAACTGCGAGGGGGTGGAGATGGGCGAAAGAAAAGGAAACGGTGTGGGACCTGCGATCCCTGCCGACGGCTGGAAAACTGTGGGTCGTGTACCAGCTGCACTAATCGTCGCACACACCAGATCTGCAAACTCCGCAAGTGTGAGGTGCTGAAGAAAAAAGCAGGGCTTCTTAAGGAGGTAAGTGGGCCTCTGCTAGGCTCCTCATCCCTTGCTTGAGGCTGTTGTCATCACGAGGGTCTGGCTAGAAGGACTCAGCCAGTTAAGCCTGTCTTCCCATTCTTGGTCACTTGGTCTCCTTTGGACCACAGACTTCTGTTGGAAGCCCAGAGGGTTCTTTTTCAAGGGTTTGTATGAGAGTGACTGGGTTCCATGCAGTGTAGAGAGCCAACGTTCTCATTTTGGATGTTTACAATTGGTACCGGAGAGAGATGTCTAGCTTGAGCTTCAAAAGTTTGTCTTCCCACTCAAAGCCTGAGGTGGATTGTAAGGTGACTGATGTATGGGTGGCTGAGGTAGTGGTGAGACACTGGAGACTGAGGTGGATGAACTTAGAGCGAAAACTCCCGAGTGAAGACAGCTTGGCTGCTGTCCCGATGGTGGGGATGGGAGGTATTTCTCCTTAAGCCTTTCCTTGGGTTCCTGTTTTTGGTAAAACAAAGAATTTCATAATACACACGTGATTGGGGTTCTCAATGGTATGGATGGGATACTTGGGCCACAGAGGCTTGGCATAGTAGTATTGTCATGTCAAGAACTCTCAGCATTTAGGGTAGAAGAGGAAAGACTGGGGATGTGGGGGTGAGGGGAAGAGTGAAGGGACAGTGACTGTATTGGGCTTTTTTCTTCTTACTATAATGATGAACTATAATGATGAACAGTTGACACAAGGTTGGTGGTGGCTGTGACAGCAGAGAGTTGGGACCAGCCAATAGAGCAGATTTTAGGCAGAGCGGAGCGTGTAGCGGCTGAAGTTGCTCCAGGCAGCGGAACTGGCGCTGGACAGAGACAGGCCTGCGCGTCTGCAGGGCTCCCAGCCCCGCCACTAATTTGTCCAAGAGCCTAGACTATTCTGGCCTCTGGGCCTGTCTTCTTTTGGGGGAAATGGAGGAGTTGTCCTCAATGGCCTTCAAAGCCCCCTCAACTGGGCCAGGAGCTGCTGTTCTCTGAGCATGAGATCACCTGAAGTTGTGCAGGGGGTGCCACATGCACTTGGGATTTCCCTGATGCTAAGTGTGGAGCTGTGCCTCCAGCGGTCATTCGGCTGGGAAGAAAGGTCCAAGCGCAGGGGCAGGGAAGCCGGTTCTGCCAGGGTTTTCTGTTTCTTCTTAACTCCCTTTGTCCACTTGTTACATACCACAAGTTCCCTGTTTACCTTCACCAGCTAAAGTAGACATCTGTATCACATCTGCAGCCCCCCTCCCACCCCCTGCCCCCTCCAGGCTTGGGGCAATAGTGTCCAGCCCATCTCTGCTGCTGGTGTTGGGCAGAGTTATACTGTTCACCTTATGCCCTGCAGGTCATTTCTCAGAGGGCGAGCTAGGTCCGAGGCTGGTGTTTGGTTGTGAGATCAGCGCAGTGTGTGTTGTATATCTTCCTAATGTGCGCTTCCTTTTCCGGAGTCTCTCTTCACTCCTCTGGTAGACTCGAGAGTAACGATGCCAAACCCTGTGGGCCAGATAGTCTTGGCGATACTCGTGGATGGCATTAAGTGCCTGTTTTGGCAACAACAAGGTATACCCGAATTAAAGGAGCCAGGAATGAGGCCAGGACCTCTATCCTCTTGTGAAAGCTGCTGGCCAGGTTGTGCAGTGGTCATGGTAAAGATACTGTGGACCTGGGTTGGCTGAGGTTTAGAGACAGCCCCGAGAAGTCTGTGTACCAAGCAGACCTCACCGTGGTTGGTGGCTACTCTAGGTCAGGTAAAAAACATAGCTGGACACCCTGTGATACCGAGGACGCAGGGTCTACATGTAGGTTTGTGGACCAGGGCTTGCCCCCAGTTTCTGAAGATATAGTGTAGTGGGGACAATGGAAAGAGTTTTTTTTCTTAAGGCCAACTATTTTGTTTGTGTGTATTTCTGCACCACGATTCCTATGTGGAGGTCAGATGACAGCGCCAGTCAGTTCACTTCCCTCTACTGTGTGAGTTCTGAGGATCCTCAGAACTTTTTTTTTTTTGGGGGGGGGGGTGTCCTCAGGCTTTGCAGCTCACACTTTTACCCACAATCTTTGTGGTGACTCTGACTTTTTTTTTTTTAAACAGAGCAGTGGTCTAAGTGTGGATATTTTCACATTGATATTTAAACTTTGAACAAAGTTTTTCTTTCTTTTTTTGGCTTGGTTTTTAAAAAAACAACAACAAAAAGGTAACTAATAACTCTCCTTTGGAAAAACAAAACAGAACAAAAACTCTGCTCATAAAGGCTAGAGAGCCTGAGAACAGCTATCTAGAGGACACTCCATCTAATGGGCTTGTCTCTGGCACATTCAAGGGCTGAGATGTGCCTGACAGACTCTGCCTGAGCAAAGTGTTTAGCAGCCCCAGGGGACCGCAGTGACCTTAATCATTAGATCTTCACAGTGCTTAGCAGACCAAATGTGTCCCAGAACTGGTGAGGTCTTTTTTTTTTCTTTTGGCCCAATGACTCAGGTATGGTGGGGACACTCCCTCCCCAGAGCCTCAGAAGTCTTACCATCTGCTTGTATCTGTACTCCTTGGGGTTTCTAGTCCCCTGGACATCCTTCCTTAACTTCATCCTGATTCAACTCTCCCAGATGCCTTCGGGGTTTCTTTTCCGATGTCTGTAAGGGCCATGGGGATGGGAGGGGGAAAGCTTATCCTGTGGTTTTTTTCTCTTCTCTACTTGAGTTTTCTTTTTTCCCAGTGGGCTTTGGGAAGGGTGTGCCAGAAACTTTGGATGCAGTAGTTTAGAATTTGAAGGTTAAAGATGGAGTCCCTGGAGCTTCTCTGGGTTGGCCGTGGGTGTAACACATCTGAAGGAGTTTGTACCTCTACTGTGGTCTTCATTCCTAGTTCCAGAAAAATCCTGAGCTTAGTCTGGTTTCTGAATTTGTTTGATTTATATTCTCTTCACTTTAATAATAAAAGCAGGCTTTTTTTTTTTTTTTAGTAGACTTTGAGTATGAGGCACTGTAAGGCGACATTGCTCAGCAATGCTCTAGAATTGGTTTTCTTGGCTAGGAGTAATCTCAGAATGTTACAAGGATAAAATGTAAGATAGAAAATGCATCATATCTGGTACGCTCAGTAAGTACCCAGCACACAGTGGCAGAGTTAAATTTCACGTATTAACAACTATACATTAGTCTGACCAAATTGTAAGCCTGTAAACATAGATTAAACGTGAGATATTCCCTGGCTTGTTGGAAGAATAACTGTAGAACAGACTGTGCAGCCAGGCATAGGAAGGAGATGTCTACACCCCACGAACAAGGTGCCATGCTCTCAGGCATGGGCAAGGGAAGTAAAGACCTGAGTAAGTAGGAGAAGCAAATCTGTATAGAGAAATACATGCGCTAGTCTGGAAGCTGAAGAACTCTACAGACAACAGCGGACAAGCGGTATGTGGTCGGAGGGTCCTTGTTAGCCATCAGCCGTGTGCATCTGCTTCAGCTTTCTGACAAGATGAACTTGCAGCTCTCCAGGCCTAGGCAGTCTTTCAACAATGTCAGAAACACGATGGGTTCTTGCTAAGCCATTTGGGACTTCCAGCTTTCTGAGGAGGGTGTTCAGCAAAGGGAGACGCAGCTGGAGTAAGCTAGGTGACGAGATTCTTTAAAATCAAGCCTACCCAGATGTTCAAGGCCTGAGAAAAGGCTGGGCAAGAAGACCAGAAAATTGCCAAGATGCTGTTTTTAACCCTATAGCACAGTCAGTGGAGGGAAAGAAGTGTTTTTTGTTTTTTTAAAAGGAAATGTGATAAGGGTAGTGAGGGGAGCCCAAGCCTAACTGAGCCATGTGTGTGGTGCCACGTTACAGTCAAGTGTACAGATGGTCAAGGTTGTGCCCACTGGGGGTTTGTGACATGGAAGGTTCAGGAGTGGTCTGAGCCTTCCCAGGCACACCAGGAGGCCAGTGTCCAGAATGTACTGTGCTTAGTAGGAAATGCTTATGGCAGCAGATTCTCTGTATAGCAAGGAGAAGGAAATGTAGGAGGCCTGCAACTTGGGGAGCATAACTAGAGGCAGGAAAAGCAGCCATTGAGTCCCCGTGTACTAGGGGGTTTATACTGGGGAAAGGAGAGCCAGTCACCACCGGCCACTGGCTCCCTACTGAATATTTTACTGAGTGCTCCAAGTCATTGGTCTTTACAGAATTATGGTGTTAAATGACCGAAGTACAGGTTAGGGCTGGCAAGAAGTCCAGTTTTTTTCAGCGTTTTGCAAATTGTAAATATAATAGTTAATTTTTGATCTAGAACAGATTGTTGACAGGGTGGTGTTATTTGGGAAAAGTAAGACTTTAGAAAGGCTAGCAATGGGCTCTGGGAATGCCTGCGGTTCCTTAGCAAGCAGCCTAGACTCGCTAAGATAGGGATTTCTGCAGAGAAATGATACCCTGTCATCCAGTGTGAATCAGAGGCTCCACACTGGGATCACCTGGGAAAGTTGACACTCCTGGTGTGTGGGTTCCCACCTTCAGGAATTTTGACTTAACTGACCTAGAGCAGAGCTGACTGGCCTGAGACTCTTGAAGTGAATCTACTGTGCAGGGTGAAGACCCTCTGCTGAACAAGAGGCACTGGTCTCACCTGAGTGTCAGGACACGAAGTGGTTTAGTCTCGCTTCCACCTTGCTCTACAGCTGACCTGCAGTGTTTTATAGAGCTTGTTAGAGAATGCAGAATCTCTGGTCTTATCCCAGATCTTTTGAACCCAAATCTGTAGTTCAGCCAGATACCCAGGTGGTTCATATAGTAACCATTAGAGTTTGAAGAGTAAATCTCCAACACTGAGACAAGGAGAAGGTATGTGGGGGGGGGGGGGGCAGAAGAACTCACAGCCAGGCACAGAGTTTCAGTTGCCAACCAAGAAAGGAGACCCTGCTCCTGGATTGCCTCTGTGTTCTCATTCCTCTGGAGTTCCTTGGGCTAGTGAGTTTTGGGTGGTACTGTTTAAGGACTTGGGTGTGATCTGAGAACAGCCAGGAAGGCTCTC